GTGATCATTGATGACTGTTGGTGACTAGTTGGTGATCATTGACGACTGTTGGTGACTAGCTGGTGATCATTGATGACTGTTGGTAACTAGTTGGTGATCATTGACGACTGTTGGTGACTAGTTGGTGATCATTGACGACTGTTGGTGACTAGTTGGTGATTGCTGGTGACTAATTGGCTACTAGTTGATGACTGTTGTTTACTATTGGCTTCTGTTGGTGACTAGTTGGCAAATGTTATTCATGAATTAATCTCCAAAATATCTTGAGATGTTTGCCGGAATTCTCAATTTCTTTTCCTGAGCTGCAGAGGCTTGTAGTCTTGTCGCTTGGATTTTACATCTGATTAGGAGCTGTTCTTATGACAGTAAACATTTCAGTCTTCAGCCCTGAGTGTCCAGATCTTACTAAAAATCGTTATCCAGAACTCATCCAAATCTACTTATCTTCAGTTTAAGATGTACTTTGATAGATTAAATCATAAACAAGTCTCTGTTGTATGCTAGAAGGAGAACAACAGCTTTAGATAAAGTTTGTTTCTCTGATGAAGGGCTGTTGCTGCTACAATCTGTACAGGTTTCTGTGATGATTGTAGCTTCAGTCCAATAGATATCAGAAACTCAGACTCATTACTCTAAGCAGAAGTTTAAGGAAGCCTCAGTTGAACGTTGAAGAATAATAGCTTCCTATCCTTTGTTTCTGAAAACTCACTGTCCTTTCTGGGGAGAAAAAAAGGTGTTAAAACTTTAGTTAGTGCCTCTTTCACAAGAAATGTAGGTGATTTGATCGTGATGTGACGAAGAGCCAATTAGAGCGGAGAAAAGGAAAAGGACTGTTTCTCTTCTTTTATCTTACTTCACAACCTGCTTCATTACCACCGTCTCACTCCTTTTCTCTGCTCGTTAAACATGTAGCTTATGATGTCTGGACAGAAAAAAAAACACAAAGCTTTGTCACACATTTCTGTGCTGCTCCGAGCACAGATTTTATCACTTCTTTGATCAAATAAGACTCCACTTTATTTCCTGGTCACGGGGAAATTGTTCCACCACTTTTACTCTCGTGCAGAAATCCCACACATGGCTCTTATATGATCCAAACATCAGTTTATTGGTGTTTGCAGGTCTGTTTTACAGTTTTGTGGCTCAGAGGCCAAACAGTACMGTAATTAAAATGAAACAAATTCTTTATTGCCTCGTAAATTAAGTCCTCAAGATAATAAATCTGAACRCTAGTCCACAAAGGAGGGTTTATTTTTGAACTGTAGCAGAGGAATCACCCTCAGCTTCCTGTGAGCTTCACCAGGCTCTCCCGTCCACTAATGGATGGACGGAGAACTGTTTGATGCTCTGTTTACGAGCCTCCAGAGTATTTTATGAATCAGCTCTCTCCTAATAATAGTTAGTAAAAATAAACCGTCTGATTAGCTCCAAAAACGATCTCCTGGCTTCTGAAAGGAGGTGAAGTTCTGGCTCCCGTTTCCTGTTAATCAGAGCTMCCTGGACGAGAAGTCAACAGATCTGGGCGAAGAGTCGTCTTGAAACCTCCTGGTGGAGGAGCACAGATGGTTGTGACCAGATGGGAGTGGGTTTTAATAACAGGGTGWATATTTTAGTCTTGTTTGCCTGAAACTTTAATGTGCGCACTCTGGTGAAGAGACAACTGTTGGCCACTCGAGGTGGAAGGGGCTGGAACCAGCAAAGCAGAAGAGATTAGAAATGAGCCGAAGCCTGGGTGTACCTGCCAGGAGAACATCTGTGCTTCTGACAGATGAGACGGCTTCACGTTCAGCCTGTCTTCTGTCTCTGTTCCCTCTCTGAGTACAACCAGTTTTATTACTGCAGCCACAGGGTCACCAGCCTCTGCAGCTTTTATTTTGTGGCTGGAAAGCAGAAAAGTTGCAGTGTTACCAGCGAAAATTGCTAGAAGTCAGTAAARGACATCATCGCATAATTGGTTGTTTGTTTGAGCGTGATGAACGGTGGTGGTTGTTGGTTGGAGGCAAGCTGAGGATAAATACTGAATGGGAAAAAGGAAGRGAAACATAAATCTGAATATACAAATAAATATCAATACCAAGAAGTTAAAACATGGTACTAAAGCTAAACAGGAATACCTTCTATACTCGTTTTAATGTCACAATTCCAATCATCATCCTTAATCTGGGCTGGAATCTTGCAAAAATAACACAAAAATACACTAAAAGACTAATTTTATACAAAAATAAATCTATTTTTCCATCCTGCCATGGGTCTGTGTTAAAGCTTGGAGTGAAAAATCATCCAGGCCACCAGAAAACGCCTCTGTTTGTTGATGATTCAGTTTGGTTGGACGTGTGGTGGAAGACTCGGCAGAGACTCAAATACAAATCAATTCAGATTCTGACCATCTGTTTTACTAAACAGCAGGGATCTGAAGCAGGTGGACCAGCAGCGAGGCTAACTTCATGTTTGAATGTGWTCCAGAAACAAATCAAAGGTTTTGGCAAAGAAAAAGAAAAAAGAAAAAGCTAAATGAGAGTAAGATGAAGTCTAACTTGGCTGATTGATGAAGAAACCTCATGACATCATCCAGGAACAACCTGGGGTGGAAGGAATAAAGATTAAAGAGAGATTCAGGTTAGACTGAGTTWACACATCAGGGCTGCGCTCTAATTATGACCTGGTATGAGGGACAAAATTAAGACTATTGTGCAACCAGCGGTTACTACATCCTTGTAGCAGGAGACTACATCTATTGATCTGATTAACGATAGGCCAGCACCGCTAACTGAGCAGCTGGCCCCGGTAACTGAGAGGCCAGTGGTGGAAAATGAGAAGGAGGCTGTTCATTTGTGTTAGCATTGGAGAGGCTAGCAACTAGCACGGATAAGCTGGCATTAGCATTGAAGAGGCTAGCAACTAGCATGGATAGGCTGGCGTTGGCAAAGGAGAGGCTAGCGACTAGCATGGATAGGCTGGCATTAGCATTGGAGAGGCTAGCGACTAGCATGGATAAGCTGGTGTTAGCGTTGGAGAGGCTAGCAACTAGTATGTATAAGCTGGCGTTAGCATCGGAGAGACTAGCAACTAGCATTGATAAGCTGGCGTTAGCAATCTAGAGGCTAGCGACTAGCATGTATAAGCTGGCGTTAGCAATCTAGAGGCTAGCAACTAGCATTGATAAGCTGGCGTTAGCAATCTAGAGGCTAGTGACTAGCATGGATAAGCTGGCATTAGCATTGGAGAGGCTAGCAACTAATATGTATAAGTTGGCTTTAGCATTGGAGAGGCTAGTGACTAGCATTGATAACCTGATGTTAACATTGGAGAGGCTAGCGACTAGTATGTATAAGTTAGCATTAGCATTGGAGAGGCTAGTGACTAGCATGGATAAGCTGGCATTAGCATTAGAGAGGCTAGCAACTAATATGTATAAGTTGGCGTTAGCATTGGAGAGGCTAGCAACTAATATGTATAAGTTGGCGTTAGCCATGGAGAGGCTAGTGACTAGCATTGATAACCTGACGTTAACATTGGAGAGGCTAGTGACTAGCATGTATAAGCTGGCATTAGCATTGGAGAGGCTAGCAACTAATATGTACAAGTTGGCCTTAGCAATGGAGAGGCTAGTGACTAGCATTGATAACCTGACGTTAACATTGGAGAGGCTAGTGACTAGCATGGATAAGTTGGCTTTAGCATTGGAGAGGCTAGCAACTAATATGTATAAGTTGGCGTTAGCAATGGAGAGGCTAGTGACTAGCATGTATAAGCTGGCTTTAGCATTGGAGAGGCCTCTTCGATGCTAACACAAATGAATAGTCTCCTTCTCGTTTGCCGGTGCCGGCCTCTCAGTTAGCGGGATCAGCTGCTCAGTTAGCGGTGCCGGCCTCTCATTAATCAGATCAATAGATATAGCCTCCTGCTACAAGGATGTAGCAACCACTGGTTGTGCAATAGTCTTAATTTTGGCCCTCATACTGAGCCATATCTAATGACAATAAAATATTTTATTATTACATAGAATATATCAAAATAAAGTGATTTGTCACACAGGAAAGTAAGAGAATAAAGTGTAATAAATGTTTGCAGCAGTAAATCTGGTGAAAAGCCTGAGAGAGCTGTAGATTTGCTGCTTGTTTCCTGCAGCGATCCGACTCTGAGAGGTGACAGCAGCTCTAATCTTGACTTAAATGTTTATTAGCGAGGAGGACACGGTGTTCCTGAACCCCCGCAGCACTCGTGTTGGTCAACGACTCTTTACTGGCCCACATCCCGTTCTTTACAGCTTCTAAACTGGCTTCGCATGAACGATAAAACCAGAGCGTTTTWGAACCGGTTTGTTTCACTGATGCTGTGATTAATCTGAAAAGAGCTGCTGAAACTCTCTCCAGCACACGAGTTTAATTTTCTCCACCTCTGATGGTTGAAGCTCCAACACTTTCGGCTCTAACGTATTCAGACGACTTTGTATTAATCGTCCGTTCAGGAGAAACTAATTGAAKATCTTATTAAACTCCTCGGATTGATCGCACCGTCTTGTCGCCGCAGAACRGATTTGGTCTTTTTAATTGGGCGGCGCGTTCCAGAATGACTCCGCTCCTCCATCACCGACTTTCTCCTCAACTTTTGTTCTGTTCAAAACAGTAATTATGTGACGGACAAAAGTCTGCGAGGAAAGAAACGAGCTGCTTTATGAAATATGTCATTTCACCTGCAGACAGTCTCTTTTAGGGACTTTTTTTAAATCAGATTTAACTGACAGCTTTAGAAATATGTGAAAGATTAAATATATAAAGTAAAGTTTTGTTGTGCTTTTAGCTGGAGTACACGGCCCGGCTGGACTTCCTGTGGCGAGTTCAGGCGAAGGAGGAGATCAACGAGATGAAGGAACTGCGAGAACACAACGAGAACATGCTGAGGAACATCCTGCCCAGCCACGTGGCCCGCCACTTCCTGGAGAAGGACCGCGACAATGAGGTCAGCACAGAACTGCTGAATCAGCTTTCTGACTCYACGCTGACTCAGCATTTTCCTCTCTAGTTTCTGGAGCTACAATTGTGCTGCTTTTAGCTACMGTTCAGTTGTRTTAACTACTGTTAGGCTGCTTTTAGCTAGTTCTGTGCTGCTTTTAGCTACTATTATTTTGCTTTTTGACACTGTTATGTTGCCTTCAGCTACTTTTGTTCTGCTTTTAGCTACTTTTGTTCTGTTTTATCTACTATTGTGTTGCTTTTAGCTACTACTATTGTGCTTTTAGCTATTGTTGTCCTGTTTTTAACCACTGTTGTGCTGTTTTTAGCTAGCAATGTGTGGTTTTTAGCTACTTTTATGCTGTTTTTAACTAGCAATGTGTTTTTTAGCTATTGTTGTACTGTTTTTAGCCACTGTTGTGCTGTTTTTAGCAAGCAATGTGTGGTTTTTAGCTACTGTTGTGCTGTTTTTAGCTAGCAGTGTGTGGTTTTTAGCCACTGTTGTGCTGTTTTTAGCTAGCAATGTGTGGTTTTTAGCCACTGTTGTGCTGTTTTTAGCTAGCAATGTGTGGTTTT